TAATCAGTGCAACAACTTGCCTCCAGTAGTTGTGAATGCTCCAACAATGGGAATTTTTAAGAAGATGTGGGATAACCATATGTCTGAAGTGATGTAGGGTTTCCTGCCTAGGCAGGGGGTTGGACTAGAAGACCTCCAAGGTCCCTTCCAACTCTGTTATTCTAAAAGTAGAATAACAGAATTTGGTCTATTTTGTCTATTGATTTTGTCTATCGATGGGAACATCTGCTGGGGGAAAAAAAACAGATCAGAAGTTGTGTGGTGGCACTGATGGAGCCAAATTGGATGGTTAATAGATCCAGTGACAAAATTTGGCAAATCTTTAAACTCTCTTTCTCTTCGGTTTTCCTAGTGGATTGTTGGAAAATGGACAGGTCAAAGCTGCCTCACCTGATCGCCAGCAGAGTGGCTGATGACATGAACTTAGGTCAAGAGTTAGATCATTACCCCTTTTGGTCTAGACATCTTAAGATTGATGGTCTCTATCTCATTTTGCTGTCCTGTCCTAGATTATTATTAGGAAAAAATAGAAAGAAGTTGTATTCAATATTCAATCCACCTTTAAAACATTTCCAAAGAAACATACAAGGCAGTGCTGTTAAAATAAAGTGAAGGATAAACATATGCAGATTAAGCAGAACACTGATCTGTAATTACCTTTAAAGTTATTTTTAAAATAAAGAAAATGGTTACTTGATTGGAAGGATAAAAAAGTCCAGCGTTATTGATTCCTTAGACTAAATGAATATCTTTGGGAAAAGCATGTCATTGTTTGGCTTTGATGCTGAAAAAGCTTTTTTGGACAATGCTTAGTAACGGGTGGCAATTCAGATTTACAGAATAATAGAATAACAGAGCTGAAAAGGACCTTGAGGTCTTCTAGTCCAACCCCCTGATCAGGCAGGAAACCCTATACCCGTGATGGCAAACCTATGGCATGCTGTGCCAGAGGTGGCATGCAGAACCCTCTCTGGTTGCTACCATCGTCAGCTACTCTTCACGGGTGCTGGAGCATCAGAAAATGGCCTGAAAACAGTCCAAAAAATTGCCGGAAAAAAGTTCATTTTTCAGGCCATTTTTGGGCTGTTTTCCAGGCCGTTTTCTGTGCCGTTTTCAGGCTGTTTTCAGGTTGTTTTCAGGCTGTTTTCAGGTTGCTTTCAGGCTGTTTTCTGGTTATTTTCCATGCCATTTTCGGGCTGTTTTCAAGGCCATTTTCTGTGCTGTTTTCATGCTGTTTTTCATGCTGTTTTCAGGCCGTTTTCAGGCCNGCTATTGCTATTGCTATCCATTAAGAGCTGTACAATTGTTGCATTCGAGAAGGCTGGATTTGATTTGAGAATGATCCTTTCTTAACCTTATTGAATGTATTTTGCAGGTTTAATGCATGTTTGATATCTAGTATGAAAGGATCCCATAATCATTAATAGAATTTTTTAAAGATAGAGAAATATTCCTTTCCCCTTCTTTCTTGCCATTTGCATATGGACACCTTGGGGAATAGGATTTTGCAGGGAAAGAAGAATAATTTGAGCTCAAAGTGTTGATGATTAGACAAAAATTTGCTCTTTAGCATAGCAGGTATAATTCTTCCTGCTGTTTAGCTCTGAAAAGAATGGAGGAATTCAGAGGCTGCCTTTCTGTCTATCCATGGGCAGCATTTCCAGTTTTCCAGAACTTCACAACCAGCATGTTCATAGTTGAGAAATCCACCCAACTGGAAATTGCCAACGTTGGGAGTCTTAAGTAACTGCTTCCTATTTTAGAAGGTTAATATTTAAAGCTCAGTATATATGCGGTACACTGGGATGTGGTGAGTCAGTGGCTAAGACGCTGAGTGTCGATCAGAAACATCGGCAGTTCGGTAGTTTGAATCTCTAGCGCTGCGTAATGGAGTGAGCTTCCATTATGTCCCAGCTTTTGCCAACCTAGCAGTTCGAAAGCCTGTAAAAATGCAAGTAGAAAAATAGGAACCACCTTTGGTGGGAAGGTAACAGTTTTCCGTGCGCCTTTAGCGTTTAGTCATGTCGGCCACACGACCACGGAGATGTCTTCAGAGAGCGCTGGCTCTTCGGCTTTGAAACAGAGATGAGTACCGCCCCCTAGAGTTGGGAATGACTAGCACATATGTGCGAGGGGAACCTTTACCTTTATACATGCAAACCCCTAATAACCTCAACTTTTGAGATTGCCTCTTTATAATGGCAATAGCAGTTAGAGTTACATACCATCCTCAGTGCTTTACAGCATTCTCTTAGTGGTTTGCACTATCAGCATATTCTCCCCATTAATCTTTGTCTTCATTTTACCACCCTCCGAAGGATGGAAGGTTGAGTCAACCTTAAACTGATCAGGATCAAACTGCTGGCAGTGGGCAGAGTTAGCCTGCAATACTGCATTCTAAGCACTGTGCTACCCAGCTACCAATTTATTTCTACTTAAAGAAACATAACTCCTCTTCTTGGATGTCAGGTGAACAAGAGGTGGGGAATTGTTGAGGAACTCTCCCTTGCTATCCATTTCTCACATGTTTCTAGGTGGCCATTAGTGGAGCAAATCTTCAGAATGTCTTTATGTTTCTCACCCTGGAGCCCCTTCTGGCTCGAAGCCCATTCCTCGTCCTCCATGTTCGCAGGAGCAACTTGGTTGGCGATGCTCTGAGAGAACTGAGCATCCATTCGGATGTTGATTTGAAAAAGCCTTTGAAGGTAAGCTTCTCTCACTGTGATCTAATGCCCACAGCAGCATCCGATTCGCATCTGGGCTGCTTCAGTGAGTTTTATTTCTGATTACTGGTGAAATTCCACGTGAGGGACTCCTTCACCCATTCAAAATAATGGCATCCACCTGGAATGAAGAATGCTGTGAAGGGTAAACCCGTTTGTGAGGTAACATTCTTTTTTATAAAATAAAATAAAATAAAATACAACGACTTTCTCAGAGAGGTGAGATCCCCTGCCATGGCTTGGCACCCCATTTTTTTCAATGTGACAATTTATTGTCCCAAAGCTGCTTTTTGAAGAGGCCACTGGACTCCCTTTGTTTTTCCTTGAAGACATTTTGCTTCTCGTCCAAGAAGCTTCTTCAGTTCAGAACGGAAAAACCAGAAAGTCCAGTTGCCTCTTGAAAAAGCATCTTTGGGACAACCAGGACCTGGATGACTGAGAATCTCCATAGACAATGACAATTGGTCATACTCTTTTGCCCATGAAAGCCATCCCAAGGCAATGTTTGTGAGCTGGACGGCCGTATACATTTGTTTAATCTATATATATGTAAAAAGGCTTTGTGTGTGTATGTGTGTATGTGTATGTTCCAGCATAACTCTGGAATGCCTCAAGCAATTTCAACCAAACTTGATACACGGAGGATGTATTCTCTGGAAAAAAAATACTGTGGGGGTAAGACACCTTTAACACCCCTCAGTGTGTGTATCCCGTTAAGATACAGCCTGTTGTGCCTTAAAATGGCTTCTACTGTACTGCCGTAAAATGGCTTCTGCTGTACCGTGCAGAGGAGTTGCCATGGTAAAGGCTTCACAGTACTCCACAAGGGGGCTTCCTCTGGTAAGGGGGAAAATCCAACATTAGAAATTACATTTGGTCCGGACATTTTCCCCCTATAAATGAATACCCGGAGAACGCTAGGTTATCAACTAATAGTTAAATAAAACTGCCCTTGTTGAAATCAATTCAGTATGTTCTGGTAGGTGATCTTTGACGGTGAGGAAGCTGTAGATGCTGGGGGTGTCACAAAGGAATTCTTTCTCCTGCTCCTGAAGGAGCTCTTGAATCCCATCTACGGAATGTTCACCTGCTATTCAGACTCAAATCTGCTCTGGTTCTCGGATACTGTAAGTATGGCTACTGCGTTCTTCTGAATACAGGCAATCCTCGCTTAGCGTCCGTTTGAAATAACAATGGACTTCCCTGGAGTATTTATGACTTGGTTCTGAAGTTGCAATGGCCAATCTCTTCTCCACCCCCCCTCCCCAAGTCATGTGAACTCATGTTGAACACTTATGGCCATTTGGACATGACCCTAAGTTTGGATGGTTTTGCCAAATCCCGGCATTTTCCTCTAGTTTCCGGCAAAAATGTCCCATAGCAAACCATTGGTTTGGTTAATGGTCATGGCATTTGCTTCGTGACCAAGGTAGCTACATTGCAACCATTGTGTCTGCTTAACAACTGTTGCAGAAAAGATCATAAAATTAGGTCAGTTAGGTCAATGACCCGATTTACAACTGTAGTGACTTAAAGATTGGGATGGCGAAGCTCCATGTAAGTCAAGGGCGATCTGCAATTGGCGTGGAGCTGGGCTGGGGTGATGGCTGGCGTGCCCACAGAGACAGCTCTGTGTGCCACCTGTGGGACGTGTGCAATAGGTTTGCCATCACGCCTCTAGAGTTCAGATTGTGCTGTGTAGTAGTACATCTGGAGTTCTCTGGTGAAGAAAGTCTGGGCAAAACAGATATTAGTCTTGGAAGTACATTTAGCAGCTTTTTAACCTGATAGCTATGATTTTAGTTTTAGACTTCCTCCTAATGCTGCTTTCTTTTTTCCTCAAGTGTTTTGTTGAGCACAACTGGTTTCACCTAATTGGCATCATCTGTGGTCTGGCTATCTACAACTTCACCGTGGTGGACCTCCACTTTCCACTGGCTTTATATAAGAAGCTTCTGAATGTGAAACCTGACTTGGATGACTTGAAGGAGCTTTCTCCCTTGGAAGGAAGGTAGATGTTGCTCGGGGATGTTATCCTGGCCAATTTGCATGGTCAGGATAAAATTACAATGTCCTCTCTTGTGGGGGGAAAAGCAAAGAGTTAGAAAACATGTACTGTATTTTTCGGAGTATAAGGCGCACCGGAGTATAAGATGCACCAAGATTTTGAAGAGGCAAATTTTTTAAAAAAGTTTTTGCACTCTGCAGATCTCCCCCATCGACCCATTTTTTGCAAAAGTGGCCCCATTTTTTTTTTTTTAAAAGGCATGCATAGCCTTTAGGAGGCTTGTAGAGTGCTCCTGGGGGCTGGGGAAATTGAGCAAAAAATGGCCTGTTTTTTGTTCATTTTTGCCCTTCCCAGCTCCCTTGAGTACTTTGGAAGCCTAAAGGTTATGCACGGCCATTTCGGTGAAGGGGGTGGGGTTTCAGGAGGCAAAAAATTGCTATATTCAGTGTATAAGACGCACCCAGATTTTCAGCCTCTTTTGCTGGAAAAAGGTGCGTCTTATACTCCGAAAAATACAGTACTTTAGACTGAAATTCAGTACATTTCCTTGGAGACAGAGCTTTCCACCCCCCAAGGTGACATCAAAAGCAAACCATGTGATTATATATAGGACCTTTGAAAAAGAGCCATGAATCGTGTATGCCCAACATGTGCAAAATTTGACAACCAGTGTGGTGTAGTACAGGCAGTCCTCGACTTATGATCCCAATAGAGCCCAACATTTCTGTTGTTAACAGAGACATTTGTGAAGTGGGCTTTGCCCCTTTTTGCAACCTTTCTTGCCATAGTTGTTAAGCGAATCACCACAGTTGATAAGTTGGTTACATGGTTGTTAAGTGAATCCAGCATCTCCGTTGACTTTGCTTGTCAGAAGGTCTCAAAAGGGGAATCACATGACTCTGGGATACAGCAACGGTCATAAGTATGAACCAGTTGCCAAGCATCTGAATTTTGATCACATCATCATGCGGAAGCTGGAAAGGTGGTAAGCGGGAAAAACGGTCATAAATCACTTTTTCCAGCACATGCAACGTTGAATAGTCACTAAATGATCTGTCGTAAGTCGAGGGCTATCCGTAGGAAAGATAGTGGATGAAGAATGAGGAGACTCAGGTTCTAGTCTGCCATGGATTGGCTCACTGGTCGAGTTTAACCTAATCTCACCGGTTGAATTTGGCCTAATCTCACCGGTCGAGTTTGGCCTAATCTCACCGGTCGAGTTTGGCCTAATCTCACCGGTCAAGTTTGGCCTAATCTCATCCGTCAAGTTTGGCCTAATCTCACCCATCGAGTTTGGCCTAATCTCACCTGTCGAGCTTGGCCTAATCTCACCCGTCGAGTTTGGCCTAATCTCACCTGTCGAGCTTGGCCTAATCTCACCCATCGAGTTTGGCCCAATATACCTCACTAAGTGTGAGGAAAAACAAGATGGATTCCTTTGACAAACATGGCATTTACTAATGACTGTAGGGATGTCGTTGGGGGGGCAAAACCCACAGCAAATATCTCACTTAACAACAGAAATTTGGGGCTCAATTGTGGTCATAAATCAAGGGTTACCTGCACATAGTTAAAGCAACCAGTAAATTCCTCCCTTTTTCTTCCTGCTATTTTTATCCTTCTGTTTAGGAGCCTCCAAGAGCTTTTAGATTATCCCGGAGAAGACATTGAAGAAACATTCTGCCTCTCCTTTACAGTAAGGACAATTCATAGCCACTTTTTGTGTTTGTGAAAGCTTAACAAATGCCAGCGCTTCAAAGCAATATTCGTTCCACATTGGTTGG